TGTCCAGAATATTTTTCAAAGCTTGAAAACACTGCGCGTCTGCGCATGCACAAATTCACAAAGTTTTCAATTATGAGAAGAAAATTTGAGTTTAGATTAAAAGTAGATGCAATACGCGCATATTTGGCCGTTAAAACACGATGTCCAGATTTTTTTTGATGGTTGAATCCATTGCGCGTTTGCGCATGCACAAATTCACACAGATTTCAGCTAGGAGAAGAAAATTAGAGTGTAAGTGTTTATATTTTAAACTCTATATTTCTCTGTACGCGCAGATTCTTTGTTCATAGACACGAGCAAGTTGGGGCCTTCAAACAAGGTGTCATAATCTCAAAATATTTGACATTTACTTAGTAGCAACGCACACACCTCAACTCGATGACCCCATTTTGTTTATTTTGGGGCAAGAAACATCTATAGATCTCTTTATGTCATAAGTTTTAATATAAATGTTAAATAAACATTGTTTATGTTTTAAATAGATATTGCTTGTTTTAATTTTAAAACGTTTTAATTTTACTGTAGAATTTGAACAAATTTGAAAATTTGGAATCGATAAAATCCACGGAAAAATCGATAAAACCGCGAAATTTCTTTTGTTATTTATAAATTAATTAAGAAATAAGAAGAATTATTGTTTATAAAATAAGAAGAATTATGCCCCAGATAAAGCAACAACTAAGAATTAAAATCGAAGATAGACGCAAAGATCATGTTAAATATTAAATCAATTAAGTTTTTGCTACAAACTTAAATTACCTAATCCCTAAATCTATGCAACCTAACCTAACGTGTAAATCTTTGATATTTCAATAATCAAATAAGAATTAAATTAAAAGTTAAAAATAAGTCAACGGTACAAGAAGAATAAACTGTCACTTAAAGAATGTAAATTAACCAAACCCTAGCTGAAGCTTGAAATAGTTACCAAGCCAAGTTTTGATTCTGCTAAATGCGTAATTTCTTTAGAACTTAACATTGTGTGTAGAAATAGAGCTGCACTGACGCACATACACTTGTTTTTGGTACAAAACTTGATAACGCACAAATATAATTGTCTAAGATTTTAACTGCCTGATTTAGAATTTTAATCAATCCTATTTTGTATTATGGTTTTCTCAATACACATATACCAGGTCTGTGGTTGAAGTGTAAGCCGTGGGCACAGTTTTGAAGCAGGACATTTTACAGGCAGGTTCAATTTTCTACAGGAGTACCCTGAGAGCAGGGAGGGGAGGGAGTACCCTGAGAGCAGGGGGAGGGGTGGCTGGAGGGTGATGAAAACATGGGGTTATCCTCAATGTATCTATAAAATCACAAATTACAAAATTCAGATGGAAGTTTAACAATTAATGAGAAGAACGAAGACGATAATCATTTAATTATTTTCTGGTTTATTCCTCTACATTAACATTCAAGTTTAAGAGTTTTTTTTTCAGTTTTATTATTTTTCTTAGTTGGAAAATATTTATCATCTTATTCAACAATTTTTTAAACCTCGCATAACGATATTTTCGTTTCAGAGCAAAGAACTGAATGTTAAAAAACAATGATTTTTTTCATGTCGAAAGATTTTTGATAGGAGTAAAATTAAGGAGGAGAACATTTTTTATAATGAACACATACCCAAAAATTGAAGCTGTTGTAGATTCCCCCCTCTCAAAATTAATTTTCACAGGGGGGGGGCACGCGCCCGTTCGCCCCCCTCCTCTCTTGTGTAACGGTCAAAAAATAAATTCCTATCACATTATAAAAAAGAATTATCCGTCGCTTCTATACCCTGTGTTTTCATACACGGTATATAAACCCCATTTATATGTTTATGTTTTGCATGGTTTTGGTGCAAGCTGTTGAGGGGGAGGGGGGAGGGGGGGGAGGATGGAGGCTGAAACCTGGGCTTCCCGTTGTTTAGTCAAACCCTGTCTAGGGTCCACAAAAAATGTTATATTAGTTCTCCATGTTGCTTGGAATATTCAGATCAAGCTTTATTAAACGTGTTATATAGTTATTAATCTTACATTTCTCGTTACTAGTACGTATAGTTGAGCATCGTTTTTAAACGTTTCTAAAAAAACGATCTTTTCCTTATATGTCAAGACACACCAAATTTTGATGTGAAAAACTTTCTAAATTTGGAACGATGGTTTCATTGGTGGGGGGGTGCAAAACGGACTTGAGTTGTTTTAATCGAGAACATTTTTTAGTTTACTTTTGGCCAGGTTTTCAGATCATTGTTGGTTTTTTTTTTATCTCCTAACTTGTCTGTTTTTTAATAGAAGTAAGCCTTTTTTCTTACATTTGAGTTTTTTTCGTGGATTTTTTAGTAAAAATTTCTGCATTTTAGTTTAATTTAATTACAAAATTTGATAGTAACTTTGTTCTTTGTTTTGATTTAGATTTTAGTCCAAGGGGAGGAGGAGGGGGGTGGTGTAGTCAACAAACACAACAATAACTTGTAATTTCAAGAAAACAAATTATAATGCTAAAATGGTGGAGCCCAAAAATGCATATTTTAGCAATTTTCCGTATTACTTACAGAATTTACTTAAAACATATTTTGGCGCACTCAATTCCCACTTTTTAAGCTATATACTCAGTCAGACAATTAATGAGTATAAAGATACTGTATAAAGAGCATTTTAACTGAGGTTGACAATGGAGAAAATTTAAATTTGCCAAAATAGAAAACTTAAATATATAATCCGTAATTATTATTTACAGAAAAGTTTAAAGTTGTACCGTTTTTCTTATCAGACATGGCCTTATCGTTATATGGTACTTTCATAGTAAAAACCCCATATATCACAAAATTACGCCTACAGTTCCTTTAATAGTAATAACACAATATATTATAAAATTACGCCTACAGTTCCTTTAATAGTAATAACACAATATATTATAAAATTACTACTACAGTTCCTTTAATAGTAATAACACAATATATTATAAAATTACTACTACAGTTCCTGTAATAGTAAAAACACCATATATTATAAAATTACGCCTACAGTTCCTTTAATAGTAAAACACAATATATTATAAAAATACGCCTACAGTTCCATTAATAGTAAAAATACCATATATTATGAAATTAGGCCTACAGTTCCTTTAATAGTAAAAAACACCATATACTATAAAATTACGCCTAAATCTCCTTTAATAGTAAAAACCCCATAAATATAAAATTACGCCTATAGTACCTTTAATAATAAAAACACCATATATCATATATGTTATTCGGTTGTCCAGGCCTATGAATTGAAGGTACGAACTTTCTCAATTCAATCGATTTTTATTTCAGTTTGAGTAATTCCAAGGTTAATAAGTGGAGTTCAGTGTATTCAAGCTATTATATACAAAAAAGTACACGAACTATTTTGAAAAAAAACTTTTTCACAAGGAATGCTTTCAGAAGGAAGATGGGAATGGCCAAGTACTATTCGATGAAAAGACAGGCCTTGAAGGAACTTCAGAATAACGAGGTTTTTTAAAATGTATTTTTGCTTCTTATTTAAGCACGTTTAGTCTTTTTTTTTTCAAGTATCTAAGAAAATTAAAATTTTTTTTAATAGTTTTTTTTTGCATGAGCTAAGTGGCAATTTTCCTATTTCAACAAGGCTTGAACTAGCTGTTCAATTTTTTTCATTTATTTAGTTTATTCGCTACATCTTGAATATGTTAATTTTAATAATATTAAAAATATAAAAAGGTACTTTGGCAAAATTGGCCTCACCCCCTTCATTGCTTTCATATCTTTGACATTCTTATTTTTACGAAAAGATCCTTTTATACACTTAATCTATTGTCAAGACTATTTATGAGTTTAAGTATGGCAAAAATGACTTCAAATTAATTCAATCCCTCCTCCAACCTTTTTCATAATTAGAACATGACAATTTAAAACATTTTAATTATTTAAATCTTAAAATTTTTAGGAAAGTTCCTTTTTAAACCAAAAAATAAAATTAAATTTATGATATTTTAATGAAACTTTTATGATTTAATCTAACAGAATTCTTAATTTGAAATATCTATGGTTTACGACATTGGGTTGCTAAGATATAGGGATTAGAAAGTCAGAGTTTGTGACAAAGACTTAGTTTTTATCGGTTAAATTGATAAGAGTATATTCTATATTAGTGTTAAAAGGTTGTTTTAATTAGGATATATTTTTTTAGATAGTTTCTACGTATTATAGGTGTAGCATGATACAACTTAAGTTTTTAATGTTTTATTTCATCTCAAAACATTATATTTTTAGGCTGATTTTTAACTGAACATTTTTGCTGTATTCCTGTAGCTCTGTAGTTCTAGTTTAGAAACCTCCCCTTGTTGGACATATTTCACAACCAGACGTCAGCATGAATATGATAAATGCAGCATCTAGGAAGAAGGAGAGACAAGAGGAGTTGGAACGTCAAAAAAAGGTTCTCAGGAACTGAGTTATTTATTCTGGGAAAACATTTAAAATATATGAGCTCATTGGGCATACTATTTTTTCTGTAGCTAGTTCAATAATATTACAAATGGAAAACTCCATTAAAGTATAAGTCAATAAAACATGTTCAGCATTGAACTTTTATGCTAGCTAAATCATGCAAAACTTTGCAAAATTAAATATTAATCTATATAAGGGTTAATTCTTTAGCAATTGTTTGAATATATATAAAAACAGTTTATTTAAACAAATGTCAATTTTTTCAAATTCTTTTATACTGCATTGCGTCTTCCGTGTCTTGACTATATATGCATGTGATATAACCATAGAGAATAGAATATATATTAGAGGGGAATTTACTGGAAAAAAATTAAAAACAGCCATTTTGTTGTACTGTTTCCATACTGCAGGTATACTTCGCATATTTATGCTATATAACCTTTTGGGCCCTGGAATATCATTTTACAGAAAATCTAAAATTATTATTAAAAGAAAACCAATTTATGAAATAGGCTGGTTTATAATTGACCAATGATCATTTCACATAGACTCTATGCATTTCATTTTACAAACGATGATTTTTCGTTATAACTATAAATCAAATGATGTTTTTTATTTAACTAATTCATTGTAAAGTTTATTTAACAGCTTTAAAAAATGCGAAATTGAAATGGATAGTCTAGGGAACATACTGTATTAATGTACTCTACTGCATATAATTTGTGAACATTTACATGATTTGTACACTTTAAACTCCCTTTCAGGCTGAAAGGGACTGAAAAAATTCATACCGAGAGATTCTTTAAATTCCCCTCTAATATATATTCTATTCTCTTTGGATATAACAAATGTCCCGTGAAAATATTGTGTACCAATGTAGCTGAAATCCAAAGTTACTGCATGCAACCCTGCCATATAATATTCAAGATTATAGATTATACAGTTAAATACTCTGCATGCGCTCTGATGGATGGAAAATGTTGTCTTTCTAACAACGGAAACACAAATACCCACGCAAATCTGCCCCTTTGGTAAAATTAAAGCAAACCTATGTGAAGCATAAAGTCTGACCGCGTCAACCTTGTTGCACCAGCTAGTCCTGTCCATAGAGCTAGGTACAGTACAAACTGGGACCAGAGGTTGACCCGACTCGGAAATTTAAATGTACTACGGCGCTGCCCGTGCACCTATTATGCACATGAACTTTTGATTTATACAAGGGTTAACAATCCTCAAATTAAAAAAATAAGAGTGTGATCTCATTTCTATAATTCAAAATTCTAATTCAAGTTTTAAATTATACATTTTGTTTATGTTTGGTGAGCCGTTGCCGCAATTTGTATTATTCTTAATCAGTGACGTCATAAAAGGTACAATTAAGTCTCCATGGTATATTGACGACATTTGTCATGCATTGGAGCGCATCCAGAATATTTAACCTTATACTCTATAACCTTGATAATCTTAGGCTTAAGAATCGAATCTACTGATTCTACATGGTTTATGGATTTATTGAATAATCTATATAATAGTTATTTGATCAATCAATTAGTTTATTAATTGGTAAATTAATCAATTAACTTATAAATTTGTTCAATGATTAATTGATTAATCAATTAATTGATTCATTAATTTATCAATTAATAACTTGATTAACTCATTACCTATTAAGTGAACAAATTTATTGATAATTTTGTTGTTTAATTAATTTATTGATTAACTAATTGATTAAATGTTGCATTGATTCTATATTTCATCAATCAATTGATTTATTGATTAATTAACAAATGTTTTATAAAGATTAATTGATTGACAATCAATGTTTAGGAAAAAGCGCTTGATTCAAGTCCAATCAGAACAGTTTTAGGATCTCTAGCCCTGGAATGTATAATATTAATATTGTATAAAATCATACATTTCAATTGCAAATAATTACAAAAGATTGACAAATGTTTTTAACCTTTTAAAATTTATTATTGTTATTTCTTAAAACTGGAGTTATTAAAACATTTTTTTTAATAGAAAGCAAATATATGTAAATTTTATTTTGAAAAAATTTTAAAGAACCTTTTTAGAATTAATGATAAAGAAATACAAAACTTGGCAAAAATGAAAGACAAATATTTTCACATATTTACAACACTTTACCATATTGTTTTTAAAGCTCCCTTACATAATTACATAATTACATAATTATAAAATTACAAAATTACATAATTACAAAATTACAAAATTACATAATTACACAATTACATAATTACACAATTACATAATTACATATATTACATAATAACATTTACATAATTACATAATTGTATAATTACGTAATTACATAATTACATATATTACATAATAACATTTACATAATTACATAATTGCATAATTACGTAATTACATAATTACATACTTACATAATTACATAATTATATAATTACATAATTACATAATTACATAACTACATAATTACATAATAACATTTTTAAAATTTATTCTGAAAAAAAGTCTTTTTCAAAGAGGCTGGACCCCCCCTCCCCCCTTACCTCCCCCCATGTAGTTTAAAATAAGTAAAGGCGGAATAGAATTAAAAAAGTATGCTAATTTGCCTGCAGATGATTGCATAACAAGAAAAGATCATTTCTATCAGACACAAATCTGTTTAAAATAAAAAAAATAATAATGATTTAATTCATATTTAAATATGTAAAACCTATTTTTGTTTGAATTTAAAAATATTATACAATCAATGTTAGGGTGGTAAAAAGAAAGCTACAACTAAGAAAAACGAAAGGTACAACAGAACAGTGTAGTGACAACTTGACCACGTTTCTGTAAAAAATAGTAAAGTAAAAGAGACTGTACATGTAATTTCAAGTGACCGATCATTTAAAGAATGGCATCTCCGATTTACCCTTTAAAGGGAGTGCCTGGCTAGACATGGTAGTTGAGCTGAGAATGCAGTATTGTAGAGAAATCTTTTAGAAATCATTTGAGAACTTTAAAACGTTTTACTGTGCATAATCATTCAGAAAGAGACGGATTTTAACTATTCATTTTTCTCTCTTTCATAATAATTATACACAGTACAAACGTCTTTTAAGACTCAAATGGTTTTTAATTTTTTTTTCTACTTTACTGAATTCTCCGCTGAGCTATACTATGTCGAGCCGGACACACTCTTTAAACCTATGTTTGAGTAAAAGTGGGGGATCAATCGTCATTTATCTTAGGAGGAACAGTTAACCCTATTCCTGCTGGGGGGGGGGGGGGCAATTTGACCCCCCTTTAGTTTTTTTACATAATTCAATTGGTCTGAGGATGTTGAAATTTTCTGAATTTTCTTAAATACCTAAAGCCCTCCCTTTAGGTCTAAACCGGGCTTTTATACTAACTGCCTGAATTTCAAATACCCCAGCAGGGATAGGGTTAATATTAAGCCCATAGTCCCTTTAACAACTTTATTTATTTACTAGCTTAGGAACCAAGCGCTACCAAGGTTAACGAAACGTCACTCCCTCCGTTTACCCGCACTTGAAGGATTTTACCGGGAAACATAGAATTTCAAAACCAAGTTAAAAATATTCACGGGTGTCTCTCAAGTTCCACAATCAAAATTTGAGGCAAATCGGTCTAGGGGTTCCTAAGTTATGATTGGACAAGCATACAAACAGATTACAACTTATATATTTAGATATAAATATATATTGTTATCAATTCTAATTTATGTATTTCAGAACTAAGCAAATATCAAGGGAACCATACAAAATTGAAGAAGTTCCATTTAGGTGATAATATTTTTGCTCGCATGATTTCAAATATTTTAACACAAAAGTTTGTTGTTAAAGAACTTGTTTACTATTTTGATTGGTTTGTATAGTGATAATAAACCACATCAACCAACAAACATTAACGAAGTCCCCTTGAGGTAAAATTATATAAAATGCTTTGAATTACAGAAACGACCTGATGCATGTAATATCAAAGATTAGTTTGAAATGAAACTATGCTTGATAATAAGCGTTCTATAGAGGGGGGGAAACAAAATAGTTATATTTTTATAATATAAAAAATGCATGTTATGAATAGATAGAAATTGTTTTGGGTTTATATAATTGAAATACTGCAAAGTATTGCTATTATGAACTTAGGAACACGTTACTAAAAAAAATCATCTTAAGTGTAAAAATTTTCATCATGGGTCGAAAATATGGCTTAAAAATGTAGCTGTAAAAAAACAATGTTAGAGTTGGGCATTGTTATTTGGTTATTGCATTTAGATTTTTTAGAAGACTACAAAAATATCAGAAGTTTAACATCACACAAATAAGTCTTAAGTCTGATATCAGTCTGAACAAGATTTTTCAAATAGGTCGGTAACCCTAGTACAATTGGGGGGGGGGGGTTCACCTCCCCCTATTACAAAAGGGTGGGAGTGTTTTTCACCCCCCCCCATGGTTTTTTCTAAATTACTGAGATATGGACATCTCTCTTAAATCATGAGTAGACAGTCTCGACTTTTCGCACAGTTTCTTTTTTGGTTTAGACATAGACATTTTAAACATGCAACGAGCTTGTGTCAAGCTCAAGTTATAAAGGAGTAATTGGAAAAATACTGTTCGATTTTTATGCGAGAGCGTGCACAGTTTGGTTTGCAGTGTTTTTCAGCTATAAACCCTCAAAACAATTTTTTCTTTAATCATTGAATGCTAAAAGTATTTGATAGAAACCTCCATTGCTTTCACAGTTATTAAGAAGCAACCTAACCACTAGTTTTCAGAGCACATATATTTACTTATAAATAAGAATACATTAGAAGAGACAACAATTGTACTATTCAAATATTAATAATAGATGAATATTTGTGTATTAACCCTTAAGTATGAAAGTTTATTTACATAATATGAATGCGCAATATATATCAACCATGTACAATGTACATTGTACAATGTACACTAAGGGTAATTCATTTTGGACTTTTTTGTAAATCAGCAAACAGGCCACCGAAGGTATATATTTATAGGCTGCCTGCCAAAGGAATTGAGTCTTTGCCACAAATTCAGTTTTTGTAAAACCTATATCTTTGCAACCTTATGATGTAAACCTTTGATATTTCAAACTCACATTATTTGATCTAATAGCATTCATAGTTTGAAATATTAAAGGTCTACGACATTGGGTTGCAACGACATTGAAATAAGAAAATCAGAGTTTGTGGCAAAAACTCAATTTCTTTAGCTTTCTACGTTGGACAAATTTTTCTGATTCACCGACAAAGTGTCAAACGATCTAGGGTCAAACGCACCAGGGTCAAACGACCTATAGGGTCAAACGACCTAGGGTCAAACGACATAGGGTAAAACGACAAACGGTCAAAAACGCAACAAAGGGCAAAACGATAAAAGGTCAAAATTGGAAAAAAATATTTCATTTATTATTTTAGGGTTAAGTTAGGTTTAGACAATTTCTGGGCCGAGCACTGCGGATAGTAGTTCAAATGATCATAAAACATAACATAATAATATGTATTATTTCAGGATTAGGTTAGGTTAAGACAATTTCTGGGCCGAGTGTTGCGGCTAGAATATAAAAATAGTTCAAATTAACCAAAACTAGTCAAAATGAAATTTTGCCCGTTAGTTTCACTTTTTGACCCTATGTCGTTTTACCCTTTGTCGTTTGACCCCGTGGCATTTGACGCTAAGGTCGTTTAACCCTATGTAATTGAATTCTTTTTCTAATAGGCCAAAGACTACAAAGCCCCATTTTTTTCATGTTATGACTCATGTTTTTTTGAAATTTTATACCGAATTCTGATTCGAAAACTTTTTAATAAATAATAAAAATAAAAATGGTGAGGCTAAATAACAATAAAAGACTTTATATCTTTTTTCAGTTTTTGGTAAGTTTTTGTCTTCTAATTCATTCAATTTTCAACATTTTAAAAGATGGGTTTCAAATTTGAATTCAGCATAAAATTTCCAAGAAAGTTTGAATTATATAAAATGTTTTTAAAATATAGCTTTTGGTTTAATAAAATACTATATAATATATTATCAGCTAATGTTTTTTTAACTTGGAAGGCTGAAATTTGGCATAAAGTTTATTCAAAATGATTACATGCAAGTTGCAACCTCTGGCGGGCGGTAAGCTGATTTCCAAAAAAAAGTCCAAAATTGACCACCCCTATATGTACAAAGCCCAATTTCAAGGCCAATAAAACAAATAAGGGGGCTTTTTAGAGTTAATAAATACGTAAATTAATAAACCACCTCTCATACTGGTTTGGGTTTCTTTTGGCGCAATTTTTGTTTGGAGATGTCGTCCCATCTTATGTATTCTAAATTCTATTATCATGTATTTAACCATAGACAACACAGTATTTGATATACACAACACAACAAAGATCGCTTTAAATCGACCGAGCTTCAAGAGCTTTGTAAATCACCTAACTATGCTTTTACTTTTCCTAACTATGGCATAGATTGAAGATTCCTAACTATGGCGTAGAATCCTAACTATGGCGTAGAAACCTAACTATGGCGTAGAATCCTAACTATGTCGTAGAATCCAAACTATGGCGCAGAATCCTAACTATGGCGTAGAATCCTAACTATGGCGTAGAATCCTAACTATGGCATAGAATCCTGACTATGGCGTAGAATCCTAACTATGGCGTAGAATCCTAACTATGGCGTAGAATTATAACTATGGCGTAGAATCCTAACTATGTCGTAGAATCCTATCTATGACGTAGAATCCTAACTATGGCTTAGATTCCTAACTATGGCGTAGTATCCTAACTATGGCGTATATTCCTAACTATGGCGTTGAATCCTTACTATGGCGTAGAATCTTAACTATGGCGTAGAATCCTAACTATGGCATAGAATCCTAAATATGGCGTAGAATCCTAACTATGGCGTAGAAGGAAGTAAAACGTATGATGGTCCTTGCGTTATTTTAATACTTTCGCGATTGGGCTATATTTGTCTAATATAGATGGGGGAGGGGGGGGGGTCCACCCCCCACCTCAATGATTTTGCCCTTAGAGTTAAGATAAGGTCTGCTAATTAAAAAAGAATTATACCTCAATGTTTAATGTTTAGGGGGCAAGGAAGGATTTATCTTTGTTGTCTATGATTTAAGCTTTGAGTGGTCACACTAAGAACAATCTTCACTATATTGGCACTGCAGGCTTTATTTTAAAGTTTTTCATATATTATTTTTCATTTAATAAACCATAAATGGTTTATAAGTCACAAAAGGCGTTTTGACATAAATATACAATAAGAATCACCTTATATTTAAAAAAATATGAAAACTGAACTAACTCAGTGCTACTTTTTTGTTGTATCCTTTAGACATAAACGATCACGTGTCAAGAATGTAAGTTTAATGTAAGTAGTTTAACTAGATAACCCTAGTTTTACTTCTTCTTCCTTTTCATTAAATTAAACCTTCGGGTAATTTTTTCTCCCTGAAGGCGAAACTTTTGTATTGAATAGCGCTTAACTTTAGCGACTCAACTCAACTTATTCTTTGACACAGATATTCACGTCTAAGGATAAACCGACGAGAGGGCATTGACAAACGATCCAAAAGTTTCGGCCTGTTGTACAGTTGATCCATGACCACCCTGAGCCTCTTCTTTCTCTATTTATTTCTCCATCTATCTATCTATCTATCTATCTATATACACATGAATCCTGCAGAAATGAATACATAGCAAGAGGTTTTTTTTAATGTCACATTACATGTTTAAGATCAAATGCCGCCGCAAAATTGACTGAATATTAATAAATCAATTGCATTCATATTTGAGGGCTATTAATTTACCTTGAATTAAAAATAAAAAAGAAGTTTCTTTAGAACTATCAAAAACTTATGACGGTCTAATTTATTCATATATCTGGGATTCATTATATCTATCTATCTATCTATCTATCTATCTATCTATCTATCTATCTATCTATCCATCTAACTTTATATATTTATCTATCTATCTATCTGTCTATCTATCTATCTATCTAGGAGACAAGATAGAAGAACATTAAATGCCCGGAATAGAAGAATAATGGACAGGAAATTGGAACAAAACATTAAATAATTTTATATTTTATTCATAGATTAATTAACAGATTACAGATGAAGTCTAGATGTCGTCTTTTCAAGATTTAAGGGTTTTTCGTGCACTATAACTCTTTACGCGCATGCTCTTTCTTTGTCTTGTAATTCAACTCTGCCTGCGCGGAACTCTGTCTCAGGGTTTTTGTGAAAGAAAAACCCTTAAATCTTGAAAAGACGACATCTATAGTTCTATATGTTGTGTTTAATTAATCTATGATTTTATCATTCATCATCAGAGAAGGAGTTCAGTTGCCCACACCTAGTTTAACTTCTTCTCATTGTTCATTAGATTGAACCTCTGATTTATCAGTGGTTTAAAAACTAAATTTAAATATGAAATTATCTAATAAAGGGCGGTGGGGCGGCAAATGATGGGGTATTTTAGGGGGGTAAGGGGGGGGGTTACTGTTTTTGTCACAATACTCCTCTTAAACATTTGTCTTGTGTTTAATGTTAAGAATTGAAAAAATGAATCTTTTTTATTTATAAACATTGTATGAATTGTAGCTTGCATTGCTTTATAATGATTCCAATTTATAATTACTTTTCCCGTTTAAATATTTATCCTTGAATGGATCCTGTAATCCCGCAATGTATTTAAGATGTCGTCTTTGTTTAAGCCGGTATTTTGGAAGCAAAGCATATATTTTATAGCAAAAGCACAAGAAAGCACAGGGGTTTCGGGATAATCTAAAAATATTTCTAAGAAATTATAGCGGGTTTTCGGTCGAAATTCTTAACTAAAATGTAACATTTAAACAACTTAGAGACTTCTCTTAAAAGAAAATTCTTAAGCGGCCAAGCCTTATTTGACATAAATAGGAGGTTTATGGAATAAATTCATTTTGGCTGACTCTCCCCTAATACCCACTGTGCGGGGGGGGGGGGCGAATGGGTTGCAAAGATTTTTTTAATGGTGTTACACTAATTATATAATATAAAGGATTGCTAGGCATTACAAAAAAGTTTCGATGAAAAATTTAACTTTGATCTTTCAGTGAGACCCATATAAAACTGTGGAAAATGTTAGACGATTGTAAATAATAGCACAATGTACATAAATCACAGCGTTTGTATACAGTGTACAGTATACACACAGGTTACATGCATGGTGTGGTACCCATTTAACTCAACAAACTGATTTCCAAGAAAACGGTTAAATTTATTGTTTTTAACAAGATAATATGTACATGGTGTCCCAATAGAAATAGAAATGGAGATGAGGTCTTTGAGATCGTCTCTGTTATAAGTTAGTATTTTCATAAGTCAAAATGAAGTCTCAAGAGTATATTTTAAGTAAACGTTAAAAGACTGTTTTTTGTCTCTCTCAAAGACATTCTGTATATATTCTTTATACAGGGACATCTGTATACTTTGTTTGCATATAGAAATATTTCGTTTTATCACAGTCTCAAATTATCACTAAATTTCTACTGCCTATTTGAACATTATATTGTTCAAATGTCGTCTACCTATTCCAGAGTTTTAAGCGTCTCACTATGAAGATAAAATATTATTTGTTTTGCAGTTTTTATTTTGTTATTGTTCCAGAAAGTTGATTTGCTGCATTATTTTTACTGGCTCTCTGTTAATGGGCCTTGGAGGAGCTTGTCTAGGAATTAATTATTAATTTTCGATGTTTTCATTTTCATTATCAGTATAAAGTTTATTATTATTATTATTATTAATATTATCATTTTTATAATTATATAAACCATTGTTTTTAAGTATTATTGTTAAAATTTCATTATTTACCATAAGTATATTTATTTTTATTAATTTTATTTTATTCTATTCTAACATTATAATTATTGTCAATATCATCATTTTCACTATTCTTAATATTTTAAAATTTTTGTAATTTTTCTCATTATCATCTTTTTTAGATTAGAATAGTCTTTAATTATGACACTGTTAAGCAAAGGACATCCCTAGTTTTCTTCTCCTAGTCTAAAGTAAAAGTCTAATCTTTTAATGTAATATAATAATTTTTAGCTGTTTATTTTGCTGTGGATGAGCCGGGATTAAAACCTCTTATCATCGTAGGAATGACAAACATTAATAATAATTAATTTTAGACATTTTGATTATTTAATAGGTTAAAAAAGCTTGTAGACATTCTTTTCTCTCTATTTTTATTCGAAGCCTTTGCATATTTGCAATATTATATATTTTTACAATACTTTCATTAGTTTGGAAACATACAATGAGTCAATTTAAATTTAATTTTTAATAAATTCTTTTCATGAAATCAAGACGCTCGCCATGTTTAGAAAAATATTGTAACACAATCCAGTTACCTACCCCCCTCCCCTGACCCCCTAAAATACCCCAATGTAAGCCCCCCCCCCCCCAACTTTGAGATTATTCATGGTTGATGTTTGTCAACAATTAGGACCAGTTCTTCTAGCCGGTAGTCTAGTCACCTGGCTTCTTTCTATTGAGGTAGAATTTGAGATAGACACGTTCGGCTTTTTTTCATTTCGTTCCCATGAACGACCAATTTTGGTAGTTTTTTTTTTCAATGGTTAAAAAAATGTTTTTGTTTGTTTTCAAAGAAATCGTTTGTTCAGAAAAGAAAAAGATGTTTTTTTGAATTTGTGTTCAGTAAAACACTATCGTTTTTGACAAAATCTTTTAAAAAATTCTTATCTTCAGTAAAAAAAAACTTTAGGCTTTTTTTTAAGTTAGTTAGAACAAATTATACCGTTCGTTTTTGAAAAACGATAGTTTTTTTCATTTCTCTAGACAATCCAAGTCGTTCGTTCATCGTTTTTTTTTAATGAACAACACCTTTTCACGAACATTTTTGGTCGTTCTCAAGAATTTCAAAACACGATGCCAATATCTAGGTATAATAAAGTGATAACCAAAAAATTCTGGAATAGGAATTCGACTTATAGACTCAGGTTATGACTTTAAATGGTCCAACGAATATAATGCACAGCAATTGTGCAGTGTGAACAGACCCATTTTACTTAATAAGTGATTTATGAACTTGCAAGTAAAACTATTTGCTTTGTGACAACATCAAATGTACTGAAGAATTGCTTTAATGTCGTCTTCCTATTCCACAGTTTTCTCGTTATCACTGTATACAGTTGTGCAGGCAAATCATTTAAACTATGGAATGGGAAGACATTATGATATGTAGTGACTTATTTGTATTTAATGTTGTTAAGAAGGTTACAGTTTAAATAAGTAAGTTTAAACTGCAAAATTGCTGTGTTACATGTTCATTGTCTAACTTCTTGCTCTTCTACTCCACAGTTTTATCAAAAATAATTTCTATTCCAAAATTCTAATTTTAGAAATATATTTCAGTCATTGGGGATTTAGCATTAAGGGTATGAAATTTTTCTGAAACAATTTTACAGAAGCAGGAATATATATTTTTCACAATAATCAAAAATGTGCCCCTCAAATGGGGATTAATATTTAAAAAGTCGCAAGTATAAGTGAATATGAAAATTTTGAAATACTTTTTGAATTGGGTGTCATTGGAAACGAATTGAATTTCTGAATTCAAATCAATTTACAGAATCGAAAAATATTGAAATTGGACTGAGTAAGGTCAAAAAAGACATTTTTAGTCAGGCCCGCAACCAGGGGAGGGTGCAAGGGTGCAGGTGCACCCCCCTTTTCTTCTGAAAGAGGGGTGCAATGACGAATTTGCAACCCCCCCCCTAGTCCCATAAAACAGAAATTGTTTTCATAAGTTTCTAACATCTAGTTACAAATTATATAGCCCGAGTAAGAATTGATTTCCAAACCAAATTAAAATCTATTTGTGCGTTACTCATTAAAAGTGTGACGGGGTTTTTGTGTACTCTCTCAACTCATCCCCTGAGTCATGTCTCTCCTGTGACGTATCTCAGGCTAACTAACAGTTGATCTGTACACTCTGTAGATTAAATATAACACAACATCAAAATTTACTCATAGTCATTTAGTAGTTGTTTAAGTCTAATTAAAACAGTATGATTTATTAATTATATGCATAGAGTCCCATGGAAATGAAATGGTAATCTCCTGTACACTTTCAGACTTTTAGCCCCCCCCCCCTTGACCGGTGTGCTATGTTTTATGAGTCTGTTTTTTTGAGGCATTTCCGTGGTGAGGCGTTTCCATAGCACCCCCTTGACCCTTGAAAAGCTTTTTTTTAAAGAATAAACTGCTAGTTAAGCAGTACTCCCTTAAAAGCTCAAATACACTTGTTAAAAAGGTTAGCCTTTATAGTGTGCATTGACAATGTAATAAAAACAACCATATACCACTGTGAAACCAAACCAAACATTGTTTAAAAATCATTAAAAAACCCCCCCAAAACATTTTTCGCCTCCGGCGCGTCATATTGCACCCCTCCTCGTCAAACACTGCAGAAACGGGCCTGTTTTTAGTACTATAATGAAGTTTATTCCAAGAAAAATTCTATTTTTCACCATAACTTGCCGAATTTTCAATATTTTTCAATTCAGTAAATTGTTTTGAACTCCAGTTTTCAAGCTGGTTCAGTGGATACCCATATTATTGAGATTGTCAAATTTTTTATTTTCGCTAACTGCACTAGTGATTTTTTATCTTTAAACCTAATTTGAGGGGCACATTTTTGAATTTTGTGAAAAATGTATTTTAAAACATACCTTAGAATTCCAAGTGGAATACTAATTTGCTTATGTAAAATGATTTTAGAAAAGTCTCATTAAATTTCACACCCCTATTAAATATACAGAGAAAAAATCTGCTAAAATATTTTTGCTAGATCTGCATCAGATTAAGTAAAAACAACAAGAGAACCACTGACCCTGAACTGGATAAGTTAGGTCAGGATTAATAATGTATTATGTTAGACTAATTAATCAATCAATTAAATAATGTATTATGTTAGACTAATTAATCAATCAATTCAATAATTAATCAATCAATTCAATAATTAATCAAATTACCATTTCAGCAATTAATAAATATTATTACATATGAAGGAAAATTAATCAAGGCAATCATTCGTATTACTAATATTCGACGAGTCGGTTTTTCTTACAGTTTATTATTTACAAAGATACAAAAACTAAAAAGATGATACTATACGAATCAAATATTATGAATTGAAGTTATTTCAGAGTGATGGGGAATCTTCAAGGAAACCTCTATTTAAGGGAGCTGATGATCAACTGATTCTTTTTCCCCAGATTTCGCTCCACCCTGGGCTAGCATTTAACCCTAGTACCCCGTGAGCTGGCCGGCTAGCCCACCAGCCCCCGGGTTTCTGGAATAACGGAACTTGGCGCTTGGCTTCGGTTTCTCCGCGTGGCTTGGGTTATTTATAGAATTCAAACACAAACAGGAATAAATCCGTTAGATTTAATGAAGGATGGAGAAAGGGGTGGGGGGAGAAACTGGGAATGATGGAAGGAGGGAAAAAATACTATTTATGATCGCAGGAAAGATCAACACATCACTTTCCTGCTACAATATATTCAGCCATAAATTTATAAATCAATTATTTAAACAATTAACCAATTAACCAATGTAATCAATTAATCCCAGAATTAATCAATTCATCAAATCATCAATTTAACAATAAATCAACTAATCAATTAATTAATTAATCAATTGATCATTCATTTAATTAATCTATTAAATAATTATTCAATTAAACAATTAATTTTCCAATCAATTAACCAATTAATCAATTGATCAATTAAGAAATCAATCAATTTATCAATCAAAATTTTTTTATAATTATTCAATTCACAAATAATCAATTGATCTATGAATCAATTTAATAATTCAACAATTAATTAATGAAATTAATCATTTAAAAAAATAAATTAAACGATTAATCAATTGATTAATTAAATAATCAATCAATCAATTTCCTAGTTAACCTCCATGAAATCAAACACTGGATGGATCCTATACTGATCCCGTTTGGTTGGGGTCTCTTTGAGGAAGGAGACGAAGTGGTGACAATAGACAAAGGTTATTTTTCCAATAATTGCAATTTTCCAACCAGGGATTGTCAGTTTTGCCATCAGGGATTGTCAGTTTTTCCTATCAGGAATTTTTAGTTTTGCCATCAGGGATTGTTAGTTTTCCCATCAGGCATTTTCAATTTTCCCATCATGGATTTTCAGTTTTCCCATCAGGGATGGCCTGTTTTTCCATTGGTCTACATCATTTTTCTATCAGGGATTGTCTGTGTTTTTTTTCATTTAGGACTGTACTTTTCCCATCATGGACTGTTAGTTTTCCCATCATGGACTGTTAGTTTTCCCATCATGGATTTTCAGTTTTCCCATCAGGGATGGCCTGTTTTTCCATTGGTCTACATCATTTTTCTATCAGGGATTGTCTGTGTTTTTTTTCATTTAGGACTGTACTTTTCCCATCATAGGGACTGTTAGTTTTCCCATCATGGACTGTTAGTTTTCCCATCATGGACTGTTAGTTTTCCCATCTCTAAATTCTCCTTTTTCCCAAAATCAGTGCACATTCATTATCTTATATACTTGCATAGTTAAAATCTATCGTTTTGTTGTATGTTTTATTGTATACTGATAACAAATTTACAAAAGCTAATGTATTTACTGATATTTGAATCTTTTGTGATGCAGTAATATCTGATCATACTGTTTGTACTCTACTCATAGTCATGTACTGTACATAGTTATTACAAACAAGATGGTTGGTGGTGTACCAGATACAATATATATACTATGCACTCTACTCCTGCACTGTATAGTTACTACAAACAAGATGGTGGGTGGTGTACCAGATACAATATATATACTATGCACTCTGCTCCTGTACTGTATAGTTGCTACAAACAAGATGGTTGGTGGTGTACCAGATACAATATATATACTATGCACTCTACTCATGTACTGTATAGTTGCTACAAACAAGATGGTGGGTGGTGTACCAGATACAATATATATACTATGCNCAAGAAGAATATACATTTGGTGGGACAAGAAGAATATACATTTGGTGGGACAAGAAGAATATACATTTGGTGGGACAAGAAGAATATACATTTGGTGGGACAAGAAGAATATACATTTGGTGGGACAAGAAGAATATACATTTGGTGGGACAAGAAGAATATACATTTGGTGGGACAAGAAGAATATACATTTGGTGGGACAAGAAGAATATACATTTGGTGGGACAAGAAGAATATACATTTGGTGGGACAAGAAGAATATACATTTGGTGGGACAAGAAGAATATACATTTGGTGGGACAAGAAGAATATACATTTGGTGGGACAAGAAGAATAAGAGTTGCACTATTTTTGAATTTGTTAAACCCGGTAAGCAAAGGACCTAGAGTGTAGAAACCTTAAAGGACATTTTTTTTTTGATAGTTTTCTTCACAGAAAAAGATTAAAATGACATGATTGACGGAGGCTAAGCTACCAAAAAAATGTCAATACTGAACCCTTCCCCCTGCACAATGCAGTTGGCATTAAAAAAACGGTATCATTTGTTTACCAGCATGATATTTTTTGCATGTTATTTTTTGAAGATTATGAAAGTGATGCTCAAGAGCTATCCAATAATGTATCAAATGATATAGATTTGTATCACAATAAGTAAGTAGGGGGGGGTCACTATGACCCTCCCCCCCCCCGTCTATTTTGGGTAAACCAAACGTCAGTCGGAATAGGGTTAACCCTTTCCCGATTGGGCTTTTTTGTCTGATATAAATTAGGGGGGAGGGAGGGTGAAGACCATCCTCTCCTCAGTCTCTAGGCAAGTCCTCAAACTAGAGAAAGACTGTACATATATATGTACGTAAATACTGCAACAGATTTGAATTTTTCGACAACTTATATAAATATAAATTATACAATATACATTGACCATAAAATGTAATGTAACAATCAATCTAGTTTGAAATACATTTATTATTATTATTATTATTATAATTTTGCCTTGGAAGTAGATTTCAGGATTTCAAATGAAAAAAGTTTAATAGTTTTCGTACCAGATGAAAACCATGTGTTGTTAAGGATAATGGAGATGGAGATGAACTCTCTAAGTGAAGAAGATGAAATACCCAACAAACCTAAGTACGTTTTTTTCCCATTTAAACTTTTATTTCAAAACTAACGAACCTTCAATTTTCGATTATTTGTTTTACTTTGTAGTATTGTTGTTTAAATAACCATAATGGAAATGGAATGATGGTTTAATGAAAAGCATCTACCAACATTTTTTATTTTAAAAACGCTTTTAGTTTTTTTTGTCACATTGACACTGAAACAATTTTTTTTTATTAGAAAAGCGGAATTTGCCCATTGCTGACTACTATTGCTTATACCCTTTTAACACAAATTTTAGCAATAATTCAGCAATAAATAATTTTTTTTCAGTAATGATTTTTTATTATCTTCGGAAGTTTTCAGTGTATCATTGAGATATTCACACATTTCAAGGTAAATTATAATAATTCTACTCAAATCATCTTTTAAACAATTCAGATCATAAAGTAGATCAAACCCTGATCAGTGATCACACCTGATCACACCTGATCAAACCAGATCAATCCAGATCAATCCAAAACAATTCTGATCAAGTCAGATCTCACAAAATCAAACAAGATCGAACAAGATCAAACATCAATAAAACCTCGATAAATATGTCCTGTAAATGAGCATATAACCAAAGAGAATATAATATATATTAGAGTGGAATTTAAACAATACTTTGGTATGAATTTTGTCAGTCCCTTTCAGCCTGAAAGGGAGTTCAAAGTGTACAAATCATGTAAATATTCACAAATTATATGCTGTAGAGTACATCAATACAGTATGTTCCTTTCGACTATCCATTTCAATTTCGAATTTTTTAAAGCTGTTAAATAAACTTTATAAAATGAATTAGGTGAATTAAAACATCATTTGATTTATAGTTATAACGGAAAATCATCGTTTGTAAAGTGAAAGGCATGAAACCAGCCTATTTCATAATTTGGGTTTCTTTTAATATTAATTTTAGATTTTCTATAAATGATGTTCCAGGGCCCAAAAGGTTATATAGCACAAATATGTGAAGTACACCTGCAGTATGGAAACAGTACAACAAAATGGCCGTTTTACACTTTTTTCTAGCAAATTCCACTCTAATATATATTCTATTCTCTTTGCATATAACCGATTTATTGAGTTTAGATAAATTCAATATCTAATCTATTTCAGGCCGGCATTTCAAATTGATAGATCAAGTCCAATTCCACAACTTAGGTAAATTTATCAAATCAATAATTAGAATTTAACTTTTTAATCAGTTTACTTTGTCAAGATAATACACTAGGAGAATATAGTTCTTAGCAAACCTTCATTAAAGAATTACCGTCAAAGATTCAAAACTGTATTATGATTAGGGATGGACATCGTTTTTGTATACAAACTAAATTTTTGAGAATGAACAAAATTTGTTGTGCACGATGATGTCGTCATAAGACGCTGTGGGTATTGTTCAGAAAAAACTAATGATAAACAAGCAATTCGGATCGTTCAGAGACTTGAACTGAAGGAACGCGTTTTTCGAACAAACTTTTAAAAAAAACTATCGTGTTTTTTACTGAACGCGTTCAGTGAGAAAATGAACAAAATAGATGGAAAATGAACAATAATTTTGAGAAAGAACAAAATAATATTTTTCGAACGACTGAAAAAAACAAACGAAACGCCCATCTCTACTGATGATCCATATCTGAGAAGCGATGATAAAGATATCATCTATAGATTTGCAATATACTACCAATTCCCAAACCATGTGCGCAGATAATAGAAGCTATTATGGTTAATTTAGAATTAGCTTTAAAATAAATGAAGTTGTAAAGTTTTTGTAATTGATGAAAAACTTAAAGGTCTACGTTGTGTTTCATAGATGAAGATACAAAAGGGTACAGTGTGAATCATTTATGGTATTCTTTACAAAGGTTAAATAGTCATTAAACTGCTGCCAAATATTTCAAGTCGATAAACATAGTGATAATAATATAACTGTTTCTTTTACAGAGGTGATTTTGAGGACAATACAGAAAAAATTGCAAACCTTTTCAAGAACAAGGAATTAAAACCGCGTCGAGGGGTTCGACCATATACCAGCTAGCAGGGGGTTCCACCATATGAAACAAGGCAGGGGGTTCGACCATATACCAGCTAGCAGGGAGTTCCATCATATACCAGCTAGCAGGGGGTTCCATCATATACCAGCTAGCAGGAGGTTCCACCATATACCAGCTAGCAGGGGGTTCCACCATATACCAGCTAGCAGGGAGTTCCATCATATACCAGCTAGCAGGGGGTTCGACCATATACCAGCTAGCAGGGGGTTCGACCATATACCAGCTAGCAGGAGGTTCCACCATATACCAGCTAGCAGGCAGTTCCATCATATACCAGCTAGCAGGGGGTTCCATCATATACCAGCTAGCAGGGGGTTCCATCATATACCAGCTAGCAGGGAGTTCCATCATATACCAGCAGGCAGGGGGTTCCATCCTATACCAGCTAGCAGGGAGTTCCATCATATACCAGCTAGCAGGGAGTTCCATCATATACCAGCTAGCAGGGAGTTCCATCAATATCAGATGGCAAAAAAAATATGGAAACTTTATTCTGCCAATTAAACAACTTTAAAACAGAAAATGCAATTTAAAAAAGGGATTTCAAATATTTTTTATTTCAAATATTAATACAAATAATAATATTCTATGAATATTGTCAGTACAAATGTATCAAATATTTTGAAAAAAGAATTAGAAAAATTGAAACCCTTTGTTTATGTACCTCTGAAGAAAAAATTGCCAAATTAAGTTAATCTTGGACTGAAAGTACAAAAAAATGTTGCTCAATTTGAAATGTTGCCTTTTATATAATCGTTTTAAAGTTTAAACTTGACATTTTCGATCATATGCACAATTTCCATTAATGCATTATACAAGAAAGTTTTACAAACTAGAGAATTCCGTTCAAACAGAATTACTATGCAAATTAAAAATGCAGATGTGATTTATATCAACATTTTTTTAATTTTCACAAACTGTTTGATATCTTTTGGCTGAGAAAAAGTCTCTAAAAATGTTGCCAGTTTATATCTTATCTTTGTTTTATTTCTCAAAAGCGTCAAAAATCACCCCCCCCCTCTCCCCCTTAATCGCAGTTTAATTTTTAGATTGTTTCTGATTTATATTATTTACTTTTTGAAATTTTTGTGCGCGGCAATTCAAGGAAGAAAGCTTTCAAATCTGCGCATGTAAAAGTAAAACCTATATTCAACTTTTTTATGAAACATTAAAACAGCTGATGTCAATGAGAATATTAGCATCTCCTAGTGCATATTTTTATTTCTAACAAAATATGTTTTTTGCTATGCTTAACCATAAACTCAAACCCCTGTAAAAAGTTAATAATCGAAAGTTACTTAAATCAATGTTATATATTATTGATTTTAAATCCTTGTGATATATATATATTATATATTATATATTGTGTTTATTGTAATTTTGTAATTCACATTAAAGTATACAAAAATACACTTGAAAACTAGTAAACAGAGAATCAGAGTGACAATTAAGAAAAATATGTAAAAATAAAACTTAACACATTTTCTAGATCCATGTATACAGTTTTCAAACAAAAATTGGAAATTTAATCTGAAATATTTATTTGTAATCTAAAACATTTAATCTTTTCATATATTAGGTTTTTTTAATTACAAATTTACATTTTTAACCCTATCTCTGCTGGGGTACTTGAAAACCAGGATACGCTGGGGAGATTAGAATAGT